TGCTTGACAATCATCTATAAGCCACTGTCACCCCTCAGACAGTGAGTTGCGCACGGACTGCGAGGACAACGCCAGTCCGTCCCACTGCCGGGCTAGCCCCGAGAGGGGTCAACAGCGCGCTGGAGATCAACCAGAGGCACAACTGCCACCCGAGACAGCATATACGGGTTTTGTACACAATAAACCCTCCTCCGGGTGACTTCCAAAGTTACGCCCTCCTTATTGTGTTCTACCTTGGGGATTCCAACGGGCACCACTGAAGTCCTCGTTACAACAACTTCGACAAGTAGTAAAACGCACCTCATCAAGTCGTGGCCTATCTGACGGTGGGTGTGTGGAGCGGTTTGGTTAGTAAGTGCTTTTCTGCCGTTTCTGAATTTAAAGAGCGATTCCATCCACTTTTGTGCCGGTCGGCTGGTGAAGAAGTAACTCGGTGGTTTGTGACCTTATTTGGAGTCGACCTGGTCAGATTGGCACCCACCAACGTCTAAGGGGCATTATCGTTGCACAGTCCGCGACTGCCTATTTCTCAAACCGGAGAGTCGGCATACTTCGCAGGTGGTCGCCGCCGCCGTCGCGGAATACCGTCCAATCACTCACCGACTTGTTGGCACTCATGACAACCCAGTCACAGTGTTTGCCAGAAAGATATACTCTGGTCGTAGACAGAAAAATGCGCATAGCGACCAGACACATGAACTTGGCTTATTGATTAGTGATCCCGTTTCCTTTCGCTCGATTTCCTCTTCCGTCTCTTTTTGTACCTCAACTCCTCTTATTGGACTTCTTCTGCAGCAGCTGGACCAGTTACTCTCTTTGTTTCTCTTCTTTTTGCAGCTTGAAACACTGGCCCTGCTCTCGGAGACTGATCGTCAGACCTGTCTATCTGCCCTTTCACCGAATACCGTGACGCCGGCCGGATCCAGCCCTGCGGGAACGCCTTAACTGCGCTGACAAATTGCACCTTCTTTACCGTGTCTTTCGAAGTTTTGTTTGCGTTCCTCTTCTTCTTCTTCTTGCATCAGTTTTTTGATCAAAAATAAAACAGTGACTGCACATGCGTGTTTTGCTTCTTTTTCTTCTCGGAGGCTTCCTTACGTCCTATAATATTGCTTAGGAGATCCTGCCTGGGCAGTCCATTCGCTGTTCCGTAATGGTAGATTCCACACGAGCCGTAGGTTGGGCGGGTAAAATCGATCCAAGTGTGCTGAAATTCACGGCTTACGCGGGGAGCCTCGTAGCTCAATCATAGAGCGTTGGGTGCGCAAAAAGCCTTCCCTGCTATGTTGGTTCGACTCCCACTGAGGCCGCGAGTTCTTCACAATTGAGTCAACTGAATTCTATCAGTTCAATTGTCGCGAACGGTGATTTGTGTTCTACGACCTGGTTGGCGCAGGGTCGGTGACTTGTGTGTTATGTAATTTATAGTAATGGCAGCCTTGTGGGGCATCTGGTACATTGTCCTCTTAATCCACCATCTGGACTTTGTCGGAAGACAGAGTTGAAACAAGCGGAGGTGGGCTTGGGCGTTGTCTCTCAACTACTAGGCTCTACGCACGAGGGCGTCTCCTTTAAGGGGAGCAGAAGAGGAGGAGAGGTCGCCAAACGCGGGCTATATACTGGTGGAGGCCTTATTAGCCATGCCTAACTGTAAATGCGATGAAATTGTAGGTAGTTGCGATTTGACCGTTGTTTTACTGACGATATCTACCGTGTGTACCACAACAAGGCGGACACAGGGACAGTGACTTGCGCGTAGCTTAGTTTATAGTGGTATTGAGTTTGCACGGTATCTACCGCAATTTCTCTCCCCGCACTCACCTGGATCCAGTGTCAAGACTGTATCACGCAGACGCGATGCATGCGTACTTGACAAAGACCACACAACACTACGATCGTGCGTGTTAAGG